GGGGGGGGTTTAAACTCATGCTGAAATGGCTTTAGCTTCTTAGTGCCTTACTTTAACCCAATGCACCACCAGGGAGGGCCCCTGATAGTTATCTTTTAATGAACAAATATTTTAAGATTTAACATTTCAACTTTTAATTGGCAAATATTAGGAGATATAGTTCATTAACAAGAGCTCTTTGATGACTCAATAATTTTTTAAAAATAAATGATATGTTTACTTTTACATCATTTTGTGCATTTTTCCATCTCAGTTATAATCCCCATGGGTTTCCCATCACTAAATCACCCATGTGACATTGCCATAGTCCAGTGCATTTCCCTCCCCCCACTGTTTTTGATCCCATTCCCCACTCCATCCCCATAAAATGTCCCTGGTATATAGCTGTTCATTATTGTTATTTTCTTGCCTGGGGTGACTCAAAAGATTTTAAGAGTGTAAAGAGATCCGGAAACCAAAAGGGTTGATAATTGCTGAAAGAAAAGGAAGCTTTGAAAGTAGAAAAGACAGAGCTCTTTAAATAATAATAAAAAAAAAATTATACGGTAATTTCAGAAAATGAAGATCACAGCAAAACTAAACACACACACAAAAACCCAATAAGACAATTCCACTTTTAGGTATTTGTGCAAAAGAATTAAAGGCAGGGCCAACAGATATTTGTAGACCATGTTCATTGCAGATTACTCACAACAACCAAAATGTAGATACAACTCAAATGTCCATCTACCAAAGCATGGATGAATGAAAAACAAATGGCATATATACCCATAAAATATTACTCAGCCATAAAAAGGAATGCACCAGCAACTTATTTTGTAGAAATCAACAAACTGAATTTAAAGTTTATATGGGAAGGCAAAAATTCTAGAATAGCCAACACAATGTTAAAGAAGAAAAACAACAAAGAGAACTGATACTACCTAACTTTGAACATGATTCACAAAATTACAGTAATCATGACAATGTGGTATTGAAAAAAGGATACAGATCAAAAACAGAATACAAAAATAGACTCACTCAAATATAATTCAAATATAAATCTTTGACAAAGGCAATTCAATAGAAAAGGATACTCTTTCAACAAATGGTACTAGAACCACTGGACAATTATTTGTAAAACACACACAAAGAAAGAAAAGAACAATAATCTAGACACAGACCATACAATTTTCATAAAAGTACAAATGGTTCTCAGTATAAAACACAAAACTATACAGCTTCTAAAAGATAATGGAGAAAATTTAGGTGATCTTGGGTTTAGCAATAAGCTTTTAATGTAATACCAGAAGCATGAACCATAAAAGAAAAACTTGAAAAGTGGGATGCTACTAAAATTTAAACTTCTGCTCTGTAAAAGATGCTGTAAAGAGAAGGAAAAGTTAAGACATAGAGTAGGAGAAAATA